CCCCAAAACCCCAAAACCCCAAAACCCCAAAACCCCTTTTGTGCCCACCTGCATTGAATTAGCGAAACTTTGATTATGTTACTTTGATTACTTATATGGGCTGTTGATCATGGCCTTTTCGATGTGATCGTAGTCTTCCACGTCCAAGGACTGCACACTCGGGTCCATCCCCATGCTCTGGGACCCAGACATGCCGCTTTCGTGGAACTCAGGGTTTTTATCAGGAGATTCAGCTGGGTCGAAGTCTTCAACAGGCAAGTCTTCTTCGATGTCGTCTTCGAAGTCATCTTCGTAATCGTCAAGTCCGCCTGCTGGCTTTGGTTTGGCTTCTTCGCTTCCGAACCTAAGGGCGTCTCTGTCAGGAGAGTCCCTGTCCATTTCCATTTTGAGTCCATCATTCTCGAATTCTTTGAGCTTCTTGTCGACTTCGTTGAGGCTCTTCTTTTCTCTGTCAATAGATTCTCCGAAGTGGTCTGCTTTCGGGCTTTCTTTGGGGTTGAAGTCAAGAGGCTCCAGACTCGACTTCTTCTGGCCGAGAGATGGCAACCCGTCTAGACTGCTAAGCTTTGAAGCAGACTCAGCTGGTGAAGCCATGCCTGGTGACTTCTTGGCGTCTTGGTCTTCAAGCTGTTGCTTGATGTCCATGTTGTTATTGTCCCAAAGCAAGTTTTCGGTGTCAGGCTTTTCCTCTTTATTTGGACTCAATAGGATCGACAAGATTGTTGCTGAGAGGAGCCTTGGCTGCTGCTCCATTCTTGACTGAGTTGATTAAGTGCATGAGGAGCGGCATTGAAGTACCGCTTGGCTCCATTCCAATGTTCTTCTCGATTTCTTGCCTTGTCTTGGGCTCTTGTGACAGAGAGCACTCAGGTAGGAATGTCGAAAGGGTGTAGTCCATTCTGTAGAACTCAAGGAATTCTCTGATAATGTCGATGCACATCTCTCCTTCGACTGTTTCTATAATCTTTGGAGCAAGTGGGTTCTCCCACTGGAAGCCTCACCCGTCTTTAAGGTTCTTATCCTGGCTGTCAATGACTTTGAAGACGGACGCTCTGAGTTGGGCTCTGAGGTTGCCTAGAATGCCGTTAGTTTCCAAGGTTTGGATGACAATGTTCTTAAGTTCCTCCATTTATATTTGCAAACAATTTATTTAAATTTTTGATACAATTTTAGCTTATTTGCCGGGGTTTTGGGGTTTTGGGGTTTTGGGGTTTTGGGGTTTTGGGG